TTTAGAATTATGAGCCCAAGTCAATTATTTGTTTGAAAATGATAATACTAGAATAAGATACATCATTGTGTATATATTTATATTAGTGGATTGCATATATAATGTGTATGCAATTCAAAAATGGGGTATTTTTTTTAAGGTCCCTGATCTTATGATTTTACAGTATAAAGGACATCAAATATTTTCATGATGTCTAAGGTCCCTCAACATTAATCCAGAGAAAATTGGTCCAGAAAAAATTCAAGTCAGAGAAAATTGGTCCAGAGAAAATTCAAGTAAGAGAAAATTGGTCCAGAGAAATTTTGAATTTCTCTGGCCTCCTTAGCCTTTCATGGACACTGCTAGAGAAATTTCCTTAGCCTTTCATAGACTCCAGAGAAAATTCAAATTTCTCTGCCGTGAGTTTGATCCTCCACCATTATTGCTACTGTTGTCACTTATATACTTTATTACCTCCAACTGCTGATCCATCCGAACAACATTCTAGGTGAGGAAGCCTCAAGTAACCATCTGCATTGGCTTGAGCAAGCAGCAGACCAACAATGGCTTTTTTAGTATTTTGGTTTAGCTGCTCTAATGATTTTCAAAACCAGTTGGGCTGCTCTTATGTATTATCCCCTTCTCAATAACCTATGCTTTTGTTTTTACCACAAAAATATTTATCTGGAACTTGAAAGAAGACATCCACTTGCCATTCTGGTTGTTATCACAAAACATTGATCAGTCCTCTCTTTTAGCATGGTGTAGCAGAGTCAAAAGTTCATTGGAGGTGGAAGTCAGCTGTGTGTCTCAAAGCAGTTTGCAATGAGTTGGGTTGTCACAATGTCGGCGAGTAGGTCAGCGCCTTTCATGGACTCTAGCGAAATTTCAAATTTCTCTACCGTGGGTTTCATCCTCCACCATTGTTGCTACTGTTGTTACCATCTCCGCTGCCAAAACCTGATCAACGACCAAGAAAGAAGGCTTCCAAACCAGAGAAATTCTCTGGATCAACCCAGAGAAATTTCAGCTCAAACCATAGAATTTCTCTGGACTAATCCAGAGAAAATTCAGTATAAACCAGAGAATTTCTCTGGACCAACCCAGAGAAATTTCAGCTCAAACCAGAAAAATTCTATGATACGCACTCAACACACCCACACACCGGGACACTACAACACACACACAGGCACAGATGATACACACGGAGCTGAACACACACTCAGCCATAGATCACCATAAACACCCACATGCACACAGAGGCACAGACATACACTTGAGAGCACACACACCATAGAGGGCACACATACAGAGCTCCATTGCATGAAAGACACTGATACAGAGCCACAACACACACACAGCAGCGGTCTAGACACACACTGCCACCTATCTCTCTTTCTCTAGAGGACGGACAGATTAAAAAAGGCAAAAATGGAAAAAGAGATGAAGGATTTTCAGCCATGAACATCCACTGAGACTCCAGAATTGCACCCTCCATGAGCCGTGCTTGGCATCCTTTTGAAGCTAAAAAAAAAAAACATACACGACATAGCTCTCTCTCTCTCTCTGGAGTTTTTTTGGGTTTTGAGAATGTGGTGGTAGCACGGCGGATTGCACTGGTTTTGAGAATGTGGTGGTAGCACGGCGGATTGTACACCAGTGCAATCCTTTCTCAATAAGTTCGTCTTCAAAGTCGACGACAATCTTTCTCACCGATAAACAATTCGAACAAGGAGAATCCTCATCTGGTCAACGCTGCTCCGACGAAGATCGAGTCGATCGATGTGTCCCTGGCGGAGGAGCTGAGTGCGATCTGCCAGAAGATCGAATGCCTGAGATTGGATAGAGAGAAGACGGAGAAGATACCGAGAGAGAGGCATTTGGTGATGGACACGAATTTGAAGGAGATGGTGAAGAGAGGTGAGGTACAGAAGCTGCTTGACATCGAGGTTGATAGGTTGTTTCGGGTAGAGAAATGTTTAGGGACCTCAGACATGAAAAAATAATTTTATGGATTTCTTCCATTACGAAAAGTGGGAGAGGGACTCTAGACCGATTTTCCCTAAAAAAATATGTACATATATTATATGTTGTTCAAATAGTAATGACTTGTTTTGGTGTTGTTTGGTGTGGTTGTTAAAACAGATTATAGATTATACCTTAACAGATTATAAATTATGACTTTAATCAGAAGTTGTTAATCTGTTTGGTATAACTGTTGGATTATAAATTTAAGTTGCTGAGTAATGTTTGTTAAATAAGCTGTGAAGTAACTTTTTCAATTAATTTTTATTTTTTATTATTCACTATTTGTCTACATTTCACATAAAAAAATAATAATAATATTTTATAGTCTATTTGGGTCTTTTTCTATTTTTAAAAAAATAAAAAATAAAAAAATTTAAGAGTATAACTGTAAATTAACATGTCCACAGCAGAAGTTGATAATCAGAAGCAAGGGGTGAGCCGCTTCTCAGAATCAGCTTTTTTGACTTAAAATAAGTTATTAGAATCAGAAACTGTTTGAAATAAGTTTACAGCAATGATAGAGGGCCACAAAAACAGTGGTTCAAATAGCTCAAAACTGTCAAAACGACGTCGTTTTTGCAATTTTGAGCCATTTAAGCCACTGTTTTTGTAGTCTTCAAACATTTTTTATAAGTTTAACCAAACAGTTCGAAATAACTTTTTAAAAGGCAGAAGCCATAAGTTAGCTCAAAAAAATCCCACCAAACACTCCCTTTGTCAAACCAATGATCTTGATTTCAAGACTTGTACCATTCCTTTATATAACTATCAATAACAGAGATATTTTGAAAAAAACTCAAAATATGAGACACAAATGTGTCAACACTATTAGAAACCTTCACTTTATATATTAAAATAGATAAAACAAAAATATTATTTGTATGGTAATAGTCGTTTTAATAAAAATTTTGTTTTAAAATAAAATACTTCAATTCACTTCATCATGAGGTTACTTATTAATTTGAAAACAAAAGCCTTGTTTGGTTTGTTTTTCAGAGAATAATTTTGGAGAATTTTTTTAAAAATATTATTTGGTTTAGTAATTTTGGAAATTTTTTTTCAAAATCACTTTTTTTTTTTACTACACATTAATAATCACTTTTTCATTCTCTTCTCTTTTTCTCAATCTTTGTTAATCACTTTTTCTCTCACACACATCTACTCAACTACAACAAAATATCAAATCATCCCAAATTCCCATACTCCAAAATTATTTTCAAAATATACAACTAAACAAATCAAAAAAATTTCTAAACTCTCTTTCTAATTTTTTTTTTTAAAATTTGTCTCCCAAAATCAAACTAAATGCACCCAAAGTATCTATATATATCCTGGAACCCAAGTTTCACATTGTTTTTTACATTTGAAATTTCTTATCCACAATCAATGAGACCTAAAATAAAAATAAATTAAAGAAAAGGGTATAGTAGTGATTGTGACAACTAGCCCTTTTTTAAAAAAAAAAAAAAACCAAAATTTTTGCAAATAATTGTTCTCAGATCAAAGACAGAAACCCCTTTTCGGAGGAGGAGGAAAAGAATATTCTAACAGATCCAACTTTGGCTCACCATTCTATTGTCATTATTATTTATTTATTTTTAATTCCTAATGGCTTTGTTTGTCTTTTTCTTAGATAAAGAAATGGAGCCCTACCAATTAGCGTGAGTCTAGTCTATGCTGTTTATGTCTATAAAACTCAACTAATAAATAAATTAAAATTCATTTAATATGTGCAAATTAAAATTTTATTTATTTATTACTAGGCCAAAAAGAATGACTAGTGTGTGGCAATTCACCTTATGCTTGATCATAGAGTCTATGGGAGGAGATTTTTCTCGACCACCGACTATGCAAATCATAGGAGAAAATGGCTTAGCAGAACACAGGACTACGAGTCTAGTCACATGATATATGACTGCTAAAATTTGAGCACAAGGTGAAAGTAGTAAAAAAGGAATCTTTAATTATTTGGATAATGGTTATTAATTCAATGAAATTTGCTGGAATGGGGTGCCACAGCACCTAGACGGAGTAGCATGTACAAATGGTTGTATATAACTCTCAACTATAAAATAACAAATATAAGAAGTTGCCCTACTTCTAGAGAATAGTTGTACCATTCCTAGAAATTTGAAAAATTATTGATAAGTTTTGGAGTACCGTTACGTGGTATTTTAATGATATTATGATTGGTAAAAGAAATGATGTTGACGAATTTGTGTTGAGTGATTAGAAAATATAAAAATATATAATTAATTAATTGATGTAAAGTATGACCAGATGATATTTTAAGGCCAACTAATAATTTTTTCTTTAATTTATTAAAATACTGATGGTATTGGTTGCAATTACTCACATAAGTATTAAAGCGTTTATTGATTAAACAAAGTGCTCACTTTATTTATGGTTACAAGCGGTTATAGTGACATAAATGACATTAGACTTCGTGATCATCTTCACAAGCTACTGTGATCAGATTTGTTTTTGCACAGACCAGTGAGGAGACAGTTAGAGGGGATGTGCCTCTTTCTTCTCTTTCCTTGAAACACCAAACAAACAAAAAAGGAAAAAAAAAAAAAGAAAAAGAAAAAAAGGAAACAACTAATCAAAGGGAATGTTATATCACCAAACGTAACCTACAAATGTATTTCGAACAATAAAACTTCATTATTGTCTACAACAACAGTTTGCAAGGAGAATTTTTTAAAAAAATTATCTTGATCGGCGTCGCAAGGTCTTAATAATAGTGGTTGTAGTGATAGTCATAATGTTATTAATATATCTCATTAGTTAAGAAAAAAAAATTTCATGAAACATTTTTCATCTAAACCAGCAACACCAAAACGTTGAATTTCATTTTCCTGTTAAAAAAAAAAAATAAAATAAATAAAAAAAAAAAAAAAAATAGAGAGATTAGCATTTTAGTTCTTTTTCAGTTCACATGAAAAACATTCCATTGGCAAACAGACCCAGCTAGATGAAGAGGTTTAGGACCTCCTCATCACCACATATGCCCCATGGTTAACAACTGGTATAGAGATGGAGATACCCTTCAACAAAGTAAAAAAGACAAAAGAACCTCCTCCTCTCTCACTGCAGTTCCAACCCACATGCCCAAGTTGCCAACAACGTCACACCTAACCCCTTCTCTCATACTCTCTCTCCTCTCTCTAAAGATTTCTCAAGAATCCCAACAATCTAAGCAACAAAAAAATAAAGGTAACAAAAAAAAGATGCCACTTCTAGCACAGTGCGTCCACCACCACTGGTTCTTTCTTTCCCTGTCTTTTTCCTCCAACCTCTCCCCACCCCTCTCCACTTTCCCAACACATTTTCTATCGCCCCAAACGACAGACATACACTCACTCACTCCCTGCTTTGGATTTCCCCCCACCCCTCTCTTGTCCCCCTCTCTCCTTTTGATTCCTTTCTCTGCCAACTTTCGGTAAGAACTTCCATACCCATTTCCTCTCCTCTCTGAATTCCCTTCATTTTTATGTATTCTGTAAAACCCAGATTTTTCTGTACAGAAATCCCTAAATTAGGTATTGGGTTTTTTCTAATTTGAATTATCCTTGCTTTTTTAACTTGTTATTTACTTTGTTTCATTAGGGTTTATTGTTTTCGTGTCTATAATAAGCTTGAAATCAAAACTTGTCAACTTTAAAAGGGTTTGTTTGGATCTGAAATGCCTGCGGAAGGTGCTACTTTGGCTGATGATGGGGTTGAATACTCGTTTGCCATGGAGTATCATGGCCCACCTATAACCCATGATCTTCCCCGGGCTGTTCCCATCAATGTGTCAAGGATTCCGGTAGCTTCTGTGGTTTCCCAGGTTCCGTTGTCGGAAAATTTGTCGTTGCCGGTTGTCCAACCGATCTTGACACCTGATATTACTAAAAAGTTCTCAAAAGAGTTAAAACTAGGTTGTGAATCCACTGTTTCTCCCACATCTGTGATAGCCTTTGAGCGGGGAAATGCGGTGGGTGGCGATGATTTGAAAGAATTAGCATCAAAAGAGTTAGCTTTAGGTTCTGAAACAATTGTTTCTCCAACTTCTGTGATTGTATTAGAGGAGAGCGCTCCGATTAGTGGCGATTTTGCTTTGTCGGGCGAGTTAAGTAGCGTGAGTACTTTAGATTTCCCAAATGGCCATAAGGACTCTGGAGAGTTTTCTGGTGTGATTCATTGCTCAGCTGGGCTGGGCTCTTCCTCGATAAGTCATGAGCATTCACATGAGTTGTTGGGAGCGGCAAGCTCAGGCACGTTGGGCTTTTCCGATAGTTTTGATAAATCAAAGGAGCTATCAGGTAGCTTAGCTGCACAGAGGGTTTCAAATGGCTGCAAGGATAGTTTAGATTTCAATGATTTGAACCAACCGGATTGGGCATCAAGCGAGTCAGTGTTGAGCTTGGATTACCCATCTTCTCGGGTTTCTTCTCATAGAATCGGGGATTGTAACAATGAACCTGTTTGCGATGCAAAACGGACTCCAGTTGTAACTTTTCGTGATATTGAGTCAGATGACGGAGATTTTGATGAGGAATCAAGTCATTCTCAACCTGAAATTGTGCGGGCAAAAAGAGAACCTGAGGTTAAGGTGAGAAAGGGGGCATGCTATCGATGCTTTAGAGGAAACAGGTTCACTGAAAAGGAGGTCTGCATTGTTTGTGATGCAAAGTATTGCAGTAATTGTGTGCTCAGAGCAATGGGGTCTATGCCAGAAGGAAGAAAGTGTGTTACATGCATTGGATGTCCTATTGATGAATCAAAGCGAGTGAACTTGGGGAAATGCTCTCGAATGCTCAAGAGACTGCTTAATGACTTGGAGATTAGACAAATAATGAAGGCTGAGAAGTTGTGTGAGGTTAATCAATTGCCACCAGAGTATGTTTTTGTGAATGGTAAGCCTCTCTGTCAAGAGGAGCTGGCTACATTGCAGAGTTGCCCAAACCCACCAAAGAAGCTGAAACCAGGACACTATTGGTATGATAAAGTATCTGGTCTTTGGGGAAAGGTGAATACGGTATCCTTGAGACATTTTTTGTTGGTACTATTATTCTTCATTTGTTGCATTGTTGTGGAACTTGATGGTTGTACTAATTTTAACAGGAAGGACAGAAGCCTGCCAAAATTATTAGCCCCCATCTGAATGTTGGGGGTCCCATCAAGGTGGATGCTAGCAATGGAAACACACAAGTTTTTATAAATGGTCGGGAGATCACAAAAGTAGAGCTACGGATGTTACAGGTTCATATTGCTAATTATGCCAAAGTTATCTCTTGAGTGTTGAAACTGATTCACATGCATATATGTAACGTTACTGCGTTGGAAATTGTAGTTGGCAGGAGTCCAATGTGCCGGCAACCCCCACTTTTGGGTGAATGAGGATGGTTCATACCAGGAAGAGGGACAGAAAAATACAAGAGGGTATATCTGGGGCAAGGTGTGTATCTAGATGTTCATGTGCTTTTGTGTCTTTCTGACCACCCTATTGGAAAAAAAACACTGTCGTTTTGTTTAGTTAAACTTGATTATTATTATTATTTATTTTTTTAGGCTGGAACAAAGCTGGTTTGTGCTGTATTATCTCTACCAGTTCCTTCTAAATCTGCAAATCTTTGTGAACAAGTGAATAGTCTGGTTAGCCGAACTGTGCCTGATTACCTTGAGCAGAGAACCCTTCAAAAAATTATTTTGATTGGGTATAATGGATCTGGTACGAGTACAATATTTAAGCAGGTAATTTCCTAATGGGGTGATTTAGGTTTCCTCACACTTGAATTTCTATTTGTATAAGAACTATTATCTGTGTTTTTATCATGGATTTGGGTAGGGACGTGGAAAAGGAAAGGAAAAAGTAAGGGAAATGTGAATGAAATATAAGCTAAATTTTTTCTCTGTTTCCCTCACCTTTTCTTTTCCCTACCGTGATCCAAACACAGCCTTAAGGTATCAATTCATTATCATATCTCCTTGTACATGATGCGAAATGGACCTATCAAAGTTCACTGTGTCCTCTTGCAGTTTGATGCATTTTCTTATGCAGCATTGAATGTCCTTTTGCGGTTTGATGCATTTTCTTATGTGGCATTGAATACTGGTTGTTTTTTTGTGGGGAGTGCTAATGCTTTCTTACCTGCTTTATGTAATCTAGTTTTAACTTTAAGTTAAGCATAAATATAAAAAATACAGTTTTCTTGACCATATGATTTGTCCCAAGATAAATATGGGTCTTTCTTTTGCCATAAATAGGAATTAGGAGGAATTTTGTACATCATTTATGGTTTGAAACCTTTGTAAATCTGGATTGAAATTTATTGCCGTAAAAGGTTGGACTAGCAAAAATTGGTCTTTGACACCAATCTGCATGCTTATGTCTTTGTGAATGATTCTGATGATCCAGCCTCAGGTTGTGTTTGTTAATTACAATATGTATATTTATATAAAGAGAACAATATTTTCTTTGTGAATGAGGCTGCTTTGTGAGTAGTTCACGCCGAAACTTTAGGATTGCCACTAACATTTTATAAAAGTCTAATGCTAACAAGTGTGGTATATTTAATATTGTATTAATTTATCTTGAATTTAGTAACTTTCTAATTTTAACTTGTTAATGTGTGTTTAATGTTGTATTAAATTGTCTTGAGTTTAGTAACTTTCTATTTTAACCCATTAACTAAATTAGATGAATTTAGTACCTTTCTATATTTAAAATTCAACAAGTTGCAAGACTCATTAAATGAAATGAAGTATTATTAATTACTCCAGGGGCACTTGTTAGCATGACCATTTATAAAAAGATGTAAAAGAACTGTATAACTTCATTACTTTAATTTTCATGCTGTTATGTCTGCTACAGAATGAGCTCTTGCTTCATTTCTTTTCCCTCGGTAATAATATGTTCCAGGGAAGAGGTTTCTTCTCATCTTTGATGAAATTTCTCTGGCTACTATTTTCAGATGTAATTTGATGTGATGAAGATCAAAGGCTAGTTTTGGTTGGAATGGTGCTATTTTTACTTTTTCTTTTGGGTCAGCAACAAAATTTTTTATTAGAAATAAGAAGATAAAGAAATCACAAAGGAAGACTATAAGTCCATCAAGAAGAAATAACACAATTACAAGTGACAGTCAACTTTCCAATCTCTAGAAATAAAAAACAAATGAACCTCCTTAAAGGGAGTTGACATCAAAAGCCCAAATAGAAACAAGAAACAAATCTTTTCCCATAGGCCTTCAACTTCTTTAGACTTGTCATAAAAAATTATTGCATTTCTTTCCGTTAAATAACCCAAAAGCACAGCACGATTCACACTATTACAAAGCAATCGGGCCTTCTTGGCGGAATTAAAATCTCTACAATCAGCTATGAGCATTTGGACTCATAAAGATGGAAAAGAAAGAGAATAGGATGGATTTTCTTTAGTTACTTTTCTGTTATTGTTAGATTTGTGCAATAATATTTTATGAGTGTGTTGCAAGTTTTCTTAGCCTTTAGGGTCAAGAGATAGCTGCTTGTAAACTAGATGTGCTAGAGGTGGCTTGTTTATAAACCACTTGTGCTTGAGGTTTGTACTTGTAGGAAGCTTCTCACACTTGTCGCTTGTTTGTTCTAAAGTGGTTGTATGCAAGACACTTGTCACGTGCCTGTACACCTCCTTGGAACCCTCAACCAATTACATCACTGTTCCAACAAAATCCAGAGAGAAGCCAAATGTTTTGATTGAGTCATCTCCCCCTCACTTATGGCAAACTACATCATGATTCCAAAAATCCAGAGAAATACCCAATAGCTTGATTGCAGTTTATAAACCCCCTTTTCTTTTCTCTTTCTGTGCTGTGAGTTTTTATTTTGCCGTAATATTAGCGATTCTGGAGATAATTATGTTGGATATAAGCTTCAGTTGGCAAGGGTAAAGTTTTGTTTATCAGGATATTATGTTGGATATCTATGCTATAATGGTTAAAATTAAGTTTTTAAAGATACTTCCGCGTACCTTGAAAGAATTGGGTTAGAGAGAGTGCTTTTCATTGTCCTTATAGCATTGCCAATGAAAACTCTTAATACCATTGACCATATTGGACTGTGACTGTTGGGGTGCCAAAACCAAGTGGAAATTCAATAATTGATTATATGAGCTTAAGCCAGAGAGTCGGAAACCTACTAAAAACTTTTTTATGGTAAGTAAAGCATTTATTACCAAGAAGAAGAATATACAACAAAACTCAAGACACATGTCCACAGACAACTTGCTAAAAACTTCCGTTTGGTGTAGTTTTCAGAAAATTGCTCTCATAAATGTTTTTTAAAAGCTGGGACAATTTCAGGAACTCAGTCTTTTTGATCATTTTATTATTCCTAACTGAAAATAAAAACAAAGAACAGAAAACAACATTTTGGCGTTTCCTAAAATTGGTTCATTTTAACTTGGTTTTTATTTAAGATTTCTAAAAACAACGAACCAAATAATTTTTTTTATCTTGTTTCCTATCTTTTTGTAACTCTGAGAATAGAAAACTGGTTTTAAAAAAACACAGTGTAAGGTTCTTCCTTGTCTCCTCCTCCTCCTCCTTTTAGCAATTAGTTATTTCCTCTACTTGATTTTTTATTTTTGTGAAAGAAACAAAGCCTTGAAATTGGAACACCTGCATTTTTATTTTTAATTCTGGTTCCACTTTTCGGCATTTGCGTGATTGTGGGTACTAATTCACAGATTTATTTATGGTATTCTCTTGTGTATCTCCGATTCTGTGTTATAGTATACTCTGTCATTGCAAGCAAAAAAGTAGCATGTTTATAAGGTAAATCACTAAAACATGTTTGAAACATCTGATGGTTGGTCCGAAATAGGAACTGTGCAGAAATATTGTTATTGACTTTCTAATTTGTCACCTGTGGACATAAATTATGGTGGATGACAATTGAGGCCTCTTTATATATTTTATTATTACCATACTGCGTAAAAAAACATGTTTAAATTTTGTGCTAAATCTCTTTACATTTAATGAAGCTACACTGGCATTGATTATGCTCTATGCTGAACTGCCAAGATTTTTCAAATTATGGGCTTTTAGTGCTCTAAGTTTTGGCAAAACCTGAAAAAATGAATATTAATATAAGTTCATGTGATAGGCGAAGATCCTTTATAAAGATGTCCCTTTCTCAGAGGATGAACGTGAAAACATCAAATTAGTGATCCAGAGCAATGTGTATGGCTACCTTGGTATACTTCTTGAGGGCCGTGAGCGTTTTGAAGATGCAAGTTTGAATGAAATGAGGAAAAATCAGTCTTGTGATGAACCTGGTCCCTCAGGTATCTGAATTTTTATTCCGTTGTTTTTTTTTTCATTGTACTTATTACATTCATAATTGCATTGTTTTCATATATTATTGGGATTTGAGAGAGAACTTAAAAGAAACGGGTTATGATAATTGTTATGATAATTGCGTTATGAAAAAAGTGAGTTATGATAATTGTTCTCCTTCAAGTCATTTATCAGCTTCAGGTTTAAACGAGTTTGTGCACCATAAATGGACCTGACTCATCTTGATCAATTGTAATGCATTCAATTTTATGGTTGCTCCAAGAAATTTGATGATGGTTAAGCTTACTTTGAAATGTATCCCCTGCAAGAATTTTAGGAACTCCATGTCATGTGTAGATGTATGTGATGTAGTGCTGTGCATGTGTTTGTATAGTGGCCACTCCAAAAATTTGATGACCCCTACAAAAATATAACTATCCCATATAATATAGGAGTGAGTCAAAACACAACTGAAATCTTATAAAATGTGGCCGAGTAAGTAATATTGGGTAGTAATTTTTAATGGATCTTGTTAATGTGTGATTTTTATGGCATATGTTAAAAAGTTTAAAAAATGTGCATTCTAAATGAAAGTGCATATGATAAAGAATGTACAATCTCTTTAGCCCTTCTTAGCATGTGCATTAAAGGTACACATTGACATGATCCTGTTTTAATTAGACCAAGAGAAAATTAACTCGAAATTTGGATTTTAGAAATTTTTTTCATTTTTTTTTTTAACTAGTTAGGAAATACATATTTAAGTTTGGGACAATATTTTCTTATTTGGACCACTGTAAAAAGCCTGTTGGCCAATTAAATTTGTGTTAATAACACAGTGAAGTAATTAAATTGTTTTAACCCGCTTGTTGGAATTTGTTTTCAAAATCGTAATGCTACACCTGCTCAATATCTTAATAAATTGATACAATATTAATTTATATAGACACAAAATTATAAAATGTAATGAATTTTAAGTAGTATTTTAATAATCTTATTTGAGTAATTCAAAAATATATTGTAACTTGACACAATTAGGGGTTGTTTGGGATGTTCTAAATGAGTGCATTTTTTGACTTTTTATAAAATATGGGTTGGGTTTGAAGTTATGTGGTAGAGAAGTGAAGTGACTTAAATAAGATGATGTGACTTAAATAGGATAGTGACTTTTTGACTTTTTTAGTAAATGCCAAACAAGGCCTTAGATTTGCTTTATAACACATCTATCCTAACAAGGTAACACCGGTTCAGAGTATTTTTGTCTCCTAACATGTTTTATTTAGCTTTTCCAATTCATGTTCCAACTAAGAAAAGGCTGGAGAATCTTTAGAGGGATGAGTTTCAAGTATCACTTGGTAGAGTGGGTTATAGTATGTTCTCTAATTGAGGATTGAGTTTGGGCATCACAAAGTTGAGGCTCTTAACTGATCTTTGTAAGGGAAGTTGTTATGGTAATACGAAGATATATCTTGTTTATGGAGGAGAGTGGTGGAAGGAAATTAGGAAAATATGGATTATGAGGGTGATTGGTTGATGAATGAAGTTAGGATATCTCATGTGTTGGAACTGTGGATGGAAGAGCAATAAGAAGGGATGCATATTCTCCAAGAACATTTGTATATTGAGGTGAGTGACAGAGGGTGAAGTTTAACAATCTAATTTGTGGTATGGGGATTTGGGCTGTGCATGGGTCAGTTTGGTTTGAGTAGCCAAACTCAGAACTAAACTGACCTTGGTCAATTCTTAAATTTTGGATCCAGAACTAATTTAACAAAGATGTGGAACTGAACTAATCGTAATCAAGGAAATTCGGGTTGGTTTGACTGGTTTTGTGATGCTAAATGTGATTGTATTGTAATAAGACTTGCACCTATTCATTGTTGTTGCCAACTGAAGACTGTCTCCAGCATGTCATACTGGTCTTCAGCCTGATCTGAGGTCAAGCTTTTGGATTGAAACTGTTATACAAGAGATTGATTATAAATTCATGAAAGAGATGAATCATTTTGTCAATTCATAGTGTCCTAATGTTTTTGATAAGTAGAACATATGCACTTGTGGTGAACATGTGTGCAGGGCTGCAAAGAAAGATATTTTTTACTTTTGGGGCATTAGTAGAAGAAAACTTATTATGCGTGTAACTCATATTTGTTTCCTTTTTCATATAGGCTAGTACTTGTTCCATATTCATTTCTGAAGATATTTAGAGTGTAACAGTTGATTAACCAATGTTGGATTTGGTATGTGACAGCTGAATTGCCTCTTATGTTTACTTATAATTTGACGGCTAGATTGTTAATTTTAATTATATACCTGTTATCCTAACAATATTCAATATTCTCAACTTCGTTCGCCGTTTTGCTTTGTGAAGTATGTTTCATTGGCTGACAATAGCATACATATTAGAAACTTACATCCAGCATGACCGTATCGACAAGTGTATGTCTCTTATCCAACAAAATATTATAAATCTGAACATTGTTTGTGGTTAACAGGGAATACTGATGGTAATGATGGCAAAACTATCTATTCCATTTGCCCAAGGTTGAAAGCATTCTCCGATTGGCTTCTCAAAATTATGGTATCAGGTAATTTGGAAGCCATTTTCCCAGCTGCTTCTCGGGAATATGCACCATTAGTTGAGGAGTTGTGGAACAATGCAGCCATTCAGGCAACGTACAAGCGGAGAAGTGAACTAGAACTACTACCTAGTGTTGCTAGTTATTTCTTAGAGCGGGTAAGATCATGCTTCATGTTTTTGTGCTAATTTGGCAGTGGAATATGGAGCCTTCTGATCATACTACTACTTCTCACTATCATTACATGTTCGAAATTGCTCATGGAGGTTATTCTTTCTTTCTTTTCTTCTCCTTGTTCTTTTTACATGGATGTAGCTACAGGTCTTGGGAATAGGTGGTTAGATGAATAATCTAATAATCATGCTCATCAACACATCTAAATTTCATATTTTCTCAACTTATTCTTTCATTTATTGAGCGCAAAATGATGGTTACAAGCTAATATAGAGTCTTTTATGCATAGAATGGGAGTCTTATGCATAGATTCATGGTAAACTCTACTTGGGTGCATGTCTAACTAGACATGGTGGACACATGTCCCATACTCTCAGTTTAGTTTCTATTAAATTTGGAAGAGTCTATTTAACCTAGTGCTTGGTCTCTTGGAACACCTAACGAGACTGGCTACATGTACTCCTCACATTTCACACACAGTTGGCAATTACTGGGATAAATTTGTCTAGATGGTAGGGCCATGGGGGTGCAATTGATCCCGTTCAGTCAAGTACTATGGTGTTTGGGCCCAACTTAGGATCATTATAATTTTCAAGCTTTCAGAACTCTATTGAGACCTGGGTTCATGTTTCTAATTTCATTACACCAGGACATGGCCACACTCAACTGATGTGTCGCTATTCTATTATGGAGCATGTCTTTGGTATCATGTCTTTGATGCAGCGGGGGCATATCCTAGTGAACCGGTGTTGTATGTGTTGTGAGGATGCGGGGATAGTGGATCATTTGTTTCTTCATTGTTTGGTGGCGTCGTATTTATGGGGCTTCGTCTGTTCACTCTTTGGGGTTGCTTGGGTTTAGCCCTAGGGGGTGTTGGATTTCCTTTGGGCTTGGCGAGGTGTTCGTCTAGGGCGTCGGCATCGGCGGTGGCGGCGGCCTTGGCTATTGGCCCCGTTCTATTTGATGTGGCTACTTTGATTGGAGCGGAGTCGTCGTGGCTTTTTAGAGGTGTCTCATGGTGTTTCTTGGTTACAGAATCGTCTTATTGTAGTTATGTATAGTTGGTTGGAGGGTAGAGTAGATCCGGATTTATTTGTTTCTCGATTTCTTAGATGAGGTGATGGGTTAGCCCTTGTTTTATTGGTTTCTCCAATCTGGGGTGGTTTTCTTGTATTGGTTGCATCATTTTGATGCTTTCTTAATAATATTTGCTTATTTATCAAAAAAGAAAAAAATATATATTTATAAGCTGGAGGCCAACATGATTAATACTATTACTAGGCTTATTGGTCATTCTTTATAAATTTCCAGGAGTCCATAAGATTTTGATGAAATTTTTACTTTGTTAAGTCAGTGTGTAATTGTTGTCCACTTAAGCTTCTAGGTTTTCTTGTAGAGAACACATATCCAAAAGATTTACTCGACCTCTGCACAAAGTGGTGTTTGGGTCTGTAAAACAGAAGGGAAAAAAAAAAGAAAAAGAACGGGAGATTAACCAATAAGTCCCATATTTTGAACTTGTAATCCATGTAGTCCCATATTTTTTCTTATGATCCATTTTTGATGTGTAACAACTCATTTACCCACCATATTAGAGTGTCACATTTAGAAAAAGTACATTAAGAATTTTTTTAGTGTCACATCATATCCACACGTTGGAGTGTCACATTTGGAAAATACACTAAAGAGTTTTTAATTTTTTGGAGTGTCATATCATACCCGCCACGTTGAAGTGTCACATGTCACGTTTGGAAAAAATACACTGAGAATTTTTTAATTTTTTTTAGTGTCACATCATATTTGTCACGTTGTCACATTTAGAAAAAAAGTACACTAATGAGTTTTTAGTTTTTTAGAATGTCACATTATATCTGTCACGTTGTCATATTTAAAATAAGTACACTAATTCAGTGTGTTTGGTTTGAATTTTCTGGATTAAGTTTTTTGAAAATTGACTTTTTGGTTTTCATGTTTTTTTTTGTTTTTAGTGAATATTTTTTAAATTTTAAATATTTTTTTTACTTTTTTAGATGCACCTTACTTAGATGTATCTAAAAAGTAAAAAATTTGTGAAAAAATATTTTAAAAAATTAATAAATACATAAAAATATAAAAAATGTACTGAATTTTTGTATTTTTTTTTGTATTTTTGGTATTTAGTGAATTTTTAAAAGATTTTTTTTACAATTTTTTTTACTTTTTAGCTATATTTATGTTAGGTGTGTCTAAAAAGTAAAAAAATTGTTTAAAATATTAAAAAAATTCAGTAAAAACAAAAAAATACGGAAAATAAGGAAATAGAATTTTCTGAAAAGTGTTTTGAACAGTAAAAACAAGCAACACAAATGAGTTTTTAGTTTTTTTTAGAATGTCACATCATACCCTCCACGGTGTCATATTTAAAAAAAGTATACTAAAGAGTTTTTAATTTTTTTTGAGTAAAATATTTGGAGTGTCACATCATACCAGACACGTTGTCACATTTAAGAAAAGTACATTAAGAAAATTTTAGTTTTTTTTTTTTTTGAGTGTCACATCATATCTGTCACGTTGGAGTGTCACATTAGATTGTCACATCATACCTGTTACATTAATAAAAAGGTATAGTCGTCCATCAAAATACTACCAAAATCGAAAATAGGGCTACACTAAAAGAAACTCTTCACTAATAGGACTTAACATATCAATAGAAAACATTTAGGACTAATTAGAGTACTTGTTTGTGAGATAGGGCTTATTGGTAAATATCCCAAAAAGAATTTGGGGTTTCGATGGCTTGGCTTGTTCCAAAAATGCATGGAGCTCTGCCTTACTAGTATTAGAGTGCGCTCTTGAAAAAGCCTTTTGTTGGAGATCAGCTAAGCTGACCCTATTCTGGCTTGTGTGCCAAACCAGAGTTCACCTTGTCTAGGTGGATTATTTAGTTTGATTGAGCTCCTTTTGATGGGCCAAGCTCAAGCTGCTGTGAGTTGCTTGCTCATTTACCAACATTTTATTTATCTATCAAACAATCTTGGTGAGCTTTGATTTTTATTTATGTATTATCTACTTTTTAAAAAAAAAAAATTCCTTTCAAGCTTTTGTCTTCGGAGGAAATGTGCAGGTATTGTGATTGGCAATTTCTTGAAAGTCATTGCTGATTATTTCTATAATGAAACTTTTCTTTTTCAGGCAGTTGATATATTGAGACAAGACTACGAACCTTCGGATGTAGACATCCTATATGCCGAGGGTGTTACTTCATCCAATGGGCTTGCTTGTTTGGACTTCTCATTTCCCCATTCAGCACCTGACATCGACATGGACACTGCTGATCAGCATGATTCTCTGCTCAGGTTGGCACTAATGTAATTTTATTTATTTTTAAGACAGGTGCCTTGCACTTAAGGCTACGCATACCATTACTTATATTTCATGGACTAAGGTACATTTGTCAAATGGGGTATGTGTCTAGGCAACTGATTTGTCTAATCCCTAAGATTGACATGTGGACACTGCTGAGGAATCACCATAACCATTCTTCCCTTTACTTTAAATTTCGTGAAATGATGTTAATATCTAAAATTGCTCATTAGATGTGGTAACTTTGAGCTCATTTTTGAAATTTTCTTGTAATAAAAGAGTTAAAGAGAATTACACAGAAATTGTCTTTTGTATCCTGGAGTCAATAAGGTATTCATTCTTGTATTCTGCTGGATGCTATTTTTAGGTCTCTGGCAGTAGACATTTGTTTGACACATCTAATAGTCATACCTATGTTATGTTGTATTGACAGTGTCATTATGGCATAGATCATAACAATCACTAATCAGCTTTCATTATCCAAGTTTCTAGAGTACTACTTATTTATTTATTTTCTCTCTTGTTTTTGTTTTTGGTGCCCTTGTATTTGATAGAGGTGGTGTAGTTTTTTTGTGACATTAATTTTGCACCTCTTGATTCTCAGATACCAATTAATCAGACTACAAGCAAGAGGCTTTGGAGAAAATTGCAAGTGGTTAGAAATGTTTGAAGATGTTCGAATTGTCATTTTCTGTGTTGCCTTGAGTGATTATGACCAGTACGCTATTGACGGAGATGGGGCTTTGGTGAACAAGATGTTACTGAGCAAGAAGTTCTTCGAAAACATTGTTACTCACCCAACCTTCGATCAGATGGACTTCCTTCTGATACTTAACAAATTTGACATGTTCGAGGAGAAGATAGAACGGGTTCCTCTGACGCAGTGTGATTGGTTCGATGATTTTCATCCAGTGATGAGCCGTTATCGCTCCAACAGCAACAGTAACAGCAACAGCAACAACATCAACAACAGCCCTTCCCTTGGCCACCTGGCTTTCCATTATATTGCAGTTAAGTTCAAGAGGCTTTATTCGTCTCTCACTGATCGAAAATTGTATGTTTCTATGGTAAAGGGTTTGGAGCCTGACAGTGTTGATGGAGCTCTTAAATATGCACGGGAGATTCTGAAGTGGGATGAAGAGAGACCCAACTTCAGTTTGAGTGAGTACTCAGTTTATAGCACGGAGGCAAGCTCTTTTTCTCATTGATGATGACAGAAATCAGAGAAGGCTTGTAAATGGACTTTATTGCCGGTGTATATAAAAGGGTTATGTATATGAGCCAGAGAAGAGGTTAAAATATAACAGCACAAGTCCTTGTTTGTTTGTTGCATGAGCTATTGCAGTAGCAGGATTATCAAGAACAGGTCGGTGAAATGCTGTTGCAGTTGTAGGATTATCAAGAACAGGTCCGTGAAATGATCTTTTGTACCTTTGCGTATTGTTGAGCAATGCCAGATTTTTTGTTATCTGCTCGGTGTAACTTGTGTAGTAGTGATGTGATGTTGGGATTCAATTCAACAATATTCAATTGAGATATAAGATGTACTTCTGGCCTTGTAGGTCCGGTAGTACCCAATTTGTCTCTCTCGAGATTGATGTTAGTGTTCAAGTTCTCTAAAAATCATTTTGTCTAGGATGAAAATGCAGGTGATTTTTGTGAGTATTGCTATCTTGTGTGTAGATTTCAGTTTTATGGAAGATGATTTGATAATGGAGAGGCTGACACAATATGCTTGTTTTTGTTTCGTGGGGTGATTCAACTCAAAAGACTTCTTATTCAACTTTAGATACAACAAGCGTTTGAATTGGATATGTAGCATAGGTCAGTCTAGTTTTTTGTTTGCTGCTTGTGGTGTATTTTGTTCTGTTTTTGGTCCTCTCTCTCAATTTCTCAAACACTGCTTTTTCTCTCTACCTCTTATGAGTTTTCATTTCACCCGTGAATTCAAGATCAACCTAAAGCTTTTCCAGTCCAAGAACAGCGGGTCATGGTTCAACTCCAGTTTGTATACATTTGAATTGATTAATAAAGAAAGGGATCTTGCACTCGCCAAATATATTGATCACTAAAGCTTTTTTTTTTTTTTTTGGTGTGTGGGTGTGGGGAAAGAATGAATATTTGTGTTTGAAATTAAACCAGGCATTGGATATGATTATTTGTGCTTGAAGTTAAAATTAGAACTTATCTGTTTGTTTGGATGGAAATTTTTTTTTTGGTATTTTATAATGTTTGGTACAATAGAAAATGAAAGTCAATAAAAAATATTTTTCATGGTCAACTGGAAAATAAATCTGTTCAGGGGGTAGAGAATGGTTTTTACGTATAAAAGATTAAAAATGCTTTTCGGACTAGAGTTTTATTAATGTCACTACACAATTGCTACCACACAATCACTGCTACTCTCTCATCGACCCCAACACTATCATCACCAAGGCTACTGTTACTATCACCGTCGCTACCACCACCATGCCACCACCTATACCTCCACTTTTGTCCCACCACCACCAAATATACAGAAATATATATTTTTTTTGTAGAAAATATTTTCTACCCAAACAAACGGCGGAGTGTGAGAATGACAGTTAATTGACAGTAACATAGAGTACTAAAACTTTGTCATCCTTCAAGAGCAAGGCAAAATAACCAACGCTCTGGCTGGCTGGATGAGAAGGGGTTTAATTACGAGGAATCTTGAAATATAGGGTGTAAAAATGAATCTACATGAAAGAAGAAGGGCTAAAATGAGGCTTTGTTGGAACTTAAAGGTGAGCCAGACCCATTCCAAGAGAACTTCCCATTCTGGGGTTGTCTTGCTAGTGCAGCTCTCCTTTTACCTCTTTCTTTTTTTTTCATCTATAATTTTCCTCTTTTTCCATTTTAAAATTAATTATTACTTCTACAAGTGGAAATCGTTCTCCAAAAGGAACATAGTTGCTTTCAAATACAACAAACATTATTTGAAGTGGGTTGGAGCTTGCAGGGTCTCAAATTCTTCACTTTCACATTACCTCCTCTTTTTTTTTCCCTGCATCATTTGCATTGGTCCCCAACTAACCTCCTGACAATTCTGCATTCTTCATCTTCTCTTCTATATTAATGGTTATTAAAGAAAAAACAGGGAAATACAGAGTCTAATTTGAGTTTCAGGTAATTGCAAAGCAATAACTTATTTCTTTGCTTCAGAAATGGCAGAAATTTGTGAGAGTTGCAGAATGTTAGAGAAACACAAGTACTGGAATGAATTCAAATCCGACTGACACCAGTTTTTCAAGGTCATGATTGATGATTTCAAGCATGGAATAGTTAAGTATTACATTTGAAAAAGTTTGTTTTCTTATAATTAACCCTCTTTTCCCATTCACCACTTAAACTTTGATTGTCTTGCAGAGAATTCCCAGAAAGTTTGCTAAGTATTGTAAAGAACAATTGTCAAGCAGGGTCCTTCTAAGAGGTCCAAGTGGAAATCAATGGACCCTGGAAATTGCAGCAAAAAATGACGATGTGTTTTCCAAAATGGTTGGGAAGAGTTTGCTGGAGATCACGGATTGAAAGAAACCGATTTTCTAGTTTTTCGGTATAATGGGAATTCATGTTTTAGTGTATCGATCTTGGCTCAACTCGGTTTTTTTTTATTTTTTAAATAAAGAGCATGGTTGGAGTAAAAATATAAAACAGTTGATAGGCAAAATAAAATATATACTTTATAGTAATATTTAGATAAGTAAAATGCCTATTACCGTTGGAGATGCTCTAAGTATTGTAAAGAACAATTGTCAAGCAGGGTCCTTCTAAGAGGTCCAAGTGGAAATCAATGAACCCTGGAAATTGCAGCAAAAAATGACGATGTGTTTTCCAAAATGGTTGGGAAGAGTTTGCTGGAGATCACGGATTGAAAGAAACCGATTTTCTAGTTTTTCGGTATAATGGGAATTCATGTTTTAGTGTATCGATCTTGGCTCAACTCAGTTTTTTTTTATTTTTTAGAAGCACCTTACTTAGATGTATCTAAAAAGTAAAAAATTTGTGAAAAAATATTTTAAAAAATTAATAAATATATAAAAATATACTGAATTTTTGTTTTTTTTTTTTTATATTTTTGATATTTTGTGAATTTTTAAAAGATTTTTTTTACAAAAATTATACTTTTTATGTGTATTTATGTTAAGTGTGTCTAAAAATTAAAAAAATTGCTTAAAATATTAAAAAAATTTAGGAAAAATAAAAATAAAAAAACCCGAAAAACAAAAAAGTAAAAGTTTTTGAAAAGTATTTTTGAAAAATAAAAAACAATATAATTTCGAGTTTATACTCTTCTTTCCAACGTTATGTACTTTTTGCGAATATTGTTGAGCCTTTGTTCCCTATATCCCCTGTTGAATCTAGAGAAGGATCTAGTTTCAGGCATTCAGTCTTGAAAGAATGGACCAAAAAATCGTTACCATACTCTTATCAATTACGGGTTTCTTACTGCATCAATTTCACATTTGGTCAAAAATTAAAACTAAGACAGTGATTTCTGGTGCTGTTGCAGGTAGTTGTCGGTTGTTTCATTGCAGGTCAGGAATTAAATTCACCAAACCAAGCCACTCCCGTAGCTGGTCCACCAAAGCTCAGCGGCCATGGAGCATCAGGAGCTGGAAGTCCAGCATCGCGTGGGACCATGAGTGAATCCTCTGGGGGGCCCGGAAGCCCTCTTAACCAGAGTACTGGAGCATGCAATAATAATAGCAATCTGCAAGGCTTGAACAACTTCAACTTGTCTTGGAAATAAGACTGATGACCAATAAAATGGCTTTGCTCTCTTCGAGGCTTATTCTGTGGATGTGCTGTGCTAACCTCCAACAATCCAAATGTTAGGAAGCTGATGTGTAACTTGTGACCGGCTTATGTGTAATGCATATTTGCTTCTGGGAAAAGACCATATGAGCACTGCAATTGTGCAAAAACTAAAAACCTATTCCCATCTCCCCCTTATGAGGCACCCTTTAGTGACTAAACTACATAAAAATAGTTGGATATTGTGTTTTAGATGGTTCTAAAAATTAACGTTTAGTGTTATTCTTCCGTTGCATGTGGCTGTGTGTTGTCTTGTTGATCCTGAAAGGTTAGTAGCTGTTCATATGCTTTCTGAATTTGATCATCAGAGTTTGCTTTTTGCCGAGTTTTTTATAGATCAGGTTGAGTTGTTGGTTGGTTGGATTGTTTTTACTATCCAAGTGGATGACATCTCAGGTGATGACAACTTGAATTGCTTGGTTGTATTGTATGTTTGTTTCTCTGAGCTTTGATGATGTGATTACAATACACTGATCTTGCGTCCTCAGTTCAGTAATTCTTTTGAAGTCAATTCCTGGTTTTTTCCTGGTAAATTGCCTAGTGCTTGTAGAATTGAGTCTGCCATGCTTAGGAACTGAATGTGCATTGAAATGGTGATTTTTTTTTCTCTTTTCTTTTTTTTGGGCTGTGTTGGTTTGGTTGGCTTTTTTTTTTTTTGTTGGAAGAGTGGTTATGTCTAGTGTTTGCCAAAAAACTGTTAAGCCAAGCCAACTTAACATGTGTGGTTTGATAAAGTTGGTGAGTTGGGTTGGATTGGTTGGGCGATAAAATTGATTGGTTAGTTAAGCTGATTGTTAAAATTTGTTAACTCATCTGCAAATTGATCTAATTTGTCTGGCTATCTGTAAAGACAAAATTGCTTTGTACCTACTCATGTATAATCTCTCTCCCTAATCTTATTATCTACGTAATGTTCATTGCATATATATTTTTAATTTAATTGTTCTGTATATTAATTTGTGAAGTGAAAAATATTTGCATTCAAATAATTTTTAAGCTTTGTATCAGGATCGGGAATAAATAATCAATTTATTGTTTGAAATTGTAAAATAAGTTAATTTTGTAGTCATTGATGATTTATCTTATTTTGTATTTCTTAACCCCCTAGTACCTTAGTGCGAGAGAGGAGGTTGTTACTTTGTGAAAAAGCCGAGAGAACCATGTTCACATATGATGCAGAAGAAAGAGGAAGAGGATTCCATAGATATAATAAACAGGGATGAAGATGAGGAAGAACTAAAGATGGAAAATGGTTCATTTATTTTTCTCCAACATTTTTGAGATTTGAAAATTTTGAAAATTTCAATTATTTTCATTGTTTGAAACTGCAAGTGTTTATTGTTCTGTTTTTGATCATAATTCAGATGTTGGGAAAAGAGTAGACAATATAAGACTCTCATATTCAACGAATAGGCGACAGGTTACAGAGGAAGAGAAGCAAAGAGCCTATCGATTAGCCACCAGACATTCATCGGATCTGCCTTCAGTTCTCATCACTATGCAGCCTAGCCATGTCTACAAGTTTTTTCTATTGGTATTTTCTCACATCTTATTCATGTTCTTATATTGATAGACCTTCATTTGTGAACCCTCACAGGTAGTCCAATAGTAAAAGGGCTTGACTTGGGGTATATAATCTTGACATCTTAAGTTCAGACTCCTTCTAATGTTGTGTCTACTCTTAATTGATATACGTAATTTGCAGATGATTAGTGATGCCATCCATATATTAGAACTGATCGTTATCAATATAGCTCATCAAATTTCTCTCATTTTCTCAGTTCAAAATTTCTCTTGTTTTTGCAATGTTAATAGGCATCATTATCTTGATTAATCCAACAAAAGCAACTCCCACATTTTGCTTCTCATCTCTGAAGACATATAGACAGAGTATCTTTTGTAAAAACAGTTTTGTAGTATTAAGTTTCATTAATGTATGGAATTTCTGCAAAGAATCTAGATAGATATATATGATCACTAATGTGCTTGTTTGTGTGTATGGAAAACCTGGTTTTCAATATCTTCTTGACCAATAAATGAAGCTTAGCAAAAAATTTCAGGAGCAAATGTTTTCACATTAAAAATGCTCATCAAACATCTAGAACTAGGGATGTCACTTACATATCGCAACTTTTAGAAGTTGCACCTCAAACGTAATGTATTTTAGTGAAGTTCCTCATTAGTTTTCTCTTCAAACTGCTTCCCCATATCCTAGTAAATGTTCTCTTTGCTACCATTTTCAGTCCTTTGCATTCCCTAGCTAGTCATTATACCCGGAAATAAAACCAACATCCCCGACTCAGTTTTTGTGTTCAAATTTTATAACCCGTCCAGCATATATTTAGATGCAGACAATCCCTAAAAAATGGGCAGTCAGGCATATCTCCAACAGATCTCAGGAGATTCAGCTGAGAGTCCCTCCAAGAGAGAAGAAATGGACAGCTCAAGTCAGATACAGACCTGCAGGAATTGTTGTTCATAAAGGATGGTCCAAGTTTTCCGTGGACAACAACTTGGAAGAACATGATGTGTGCATCTTTGAGCTTTCTCAGGGAGGAAAAGGCAACAACATGCCCGTTGTCTTAGATGTTTTTATATATCGTGTTGTGGATGAACTTGTTCCCTTGACTCAATCCTATGTTCCACTGTCACATCAAAAGATAACCCGTAGGGAAATATGAATATGCCAACTAGTGCTTATGTTTTTATATATTCTTACTTCAAACAGACAAGATGGTTTTTGTGAGATTGATCGCTGTTAAACGTTAATTTCTTCATGCTCGTTCCAAGTTCGAAGTACCTTAGTATGACAAATATTTATGCATCAATGGTCAGCATTTTGGCAAGGATTACCTGATGGATTTTAGGCTCAGTGGGTACAACTCTTTTTCGTACTCATGATTTTGGAAAGGTATGTGTATGAGTGTGTGTGTGAGTGAGTGATTCATCACAAGAAAATAACATCAATGTGAAAATTTTACGTACTTGTAGTATTACTATGCAAAGAATAGACATGAAAACATCATTCACAAAATAGAAGGTATATGGAAAGCAAAAAAAACTTGACTGCATGCATATAAGCTATTTCCAACAACTAGAAATTTTGCTTTTGAAACATTACATAGCATTCGTAGACAATCACTCAATCTAGACTTCTGCAAATAGAAACTTTCAGAAAATAATCGTATCTCTCAATAAGCTCAAAGGCACAAATATCACCTACTTTATTGTGTTTTCCACACAAAAAACGAGCCAAGCACCAGAGAACCTACATACATTTCTTCCACCACATCGGACCAATTTCACGGGCCACAACTTATCTGAAACGACAAGTGTAAAACTCCGTCTATTATTTTCCATGTAGAGCTTGAGGAAGCTTGCTGGTATATTCTGCAAAAAACATAGAACATAGTTATTATGAACAGACGTTATACCAATAAAGTTGACACACATTTTACTAATTAAAGCATTTCAATATGGAAAATTTATACAATATAGTGTTATCCCAAAATGTAACAAAATATATGTTTGTTAAGTGGCAAGTCTACAGAATGTCGGGTTCATGACCTTACCATAATTCCACTATTATCATGAGTATAATTCATGAAAACTTAGAAGAATGGAAATTTGGACATGAATTTGCCGGTTTCTTGAGATCTCTTTCAATATCATCTTGAATTTCCATCGGACCTCTTGGGCTAATCTTTCTCAGTAACTTCCTCTCTGCTGGTTTTGCATGCCAGCCGGCTAGAATTCCCTGCATTATGTCAGATCATAAGCTAAGTGCAAAGCTATTAGGAATGCTGTGTTTTACGTGTCATAGAAATTTAACTTACTATGTTCAGGTGTTTGATTCTGTTTGTCAAATAAAAATGATCTAGTGGGATCATTGACATACTTTCGACAACCTTTTTTTCCAAATATTTTGACATAAAATTTTGCGTTACTTCTATAGTAGAATATGAGAAAGTCTCCGAATTCTAGTGAATTGTCCTGCACAAATTGCTGCCAACCCTTGTGGAAATACAAATTTTCATCGATCTTGTTCACATTTACTTGCCATGTTCTTTTTGAAGGACTTGTAATTGTAGATTTGTGAGGCAAAACTCCATTGAAATACTTAATGAATGCCGGTGGGATGCGCTGTAACAAAAAAATAAAAATAAAAATAAAAATGAAGAAGCAAAGAATGAATCAATTTTGCCAAAAAGAGAAATATTGATTTAGATCATTAAGCACAATAGGTCACTACAGAAAGGGGAAAAAGAAAAGAAGATTGGTAGTAGTGGCATTAGAGTACGGCATAGAGTAGCTAAACCATGTTGCAATAAAAAATATATAAAAATTAAAACAATTTTTTTAAGGCTAAATTATTATTATTATTATTATTTTGAAGAAAATACAATTATTCCTTTACTTTTGACATAATAACAATAGATTCGCTTGAGATTTTAATTCACATAACAATTAGTTCATTTTTCATTAGAAATTCATTACTTACATAAATGAAAAAAATAATATTCGGTGTGTTTGGTTTGAGTTTTCTGTATTAAGTTTTTTGAAAATTGAGTTTTTTAGCTTTCATATTCTTTTGTTTTTAGTGAATATTTTTTAAATTTTAAACATTTTTTTTACTTTTTTAGATGCACCTTAGTTAGATGCATCTAAAAAGTAAAAAATTTGTGAAAAAATATTTTAAAAAGTTAATAAATACATAAAAATACAAAAAATATATTGAATTCTTGTATTTTTTTTTTGTATTTTTGGTATTTAGTGAATTTTTAAAAAAAATTTACAATTTTTTTACTTTTTAGGTGTATTTATGTTAAGTGTGTCTAAAAAGTAAAAAAATTGCTTAAAATATTAAAAAAATTCAATAAAAACAAAAAAACACTGAAAATTAGAAAGTAGAATTTTTTAAAAAGTGTTTTCTGAAAAATAAAAACAAGCAAGCTAATTACCATCTTTTTTTAACTAAAATGTATATTTATATTTATTTATTTCAATATATATTTTTTTTATCAGTAAAGAAAAATTTCATTAATAGTATGAAATTAAAAGTATAGGAAGATAACATATATTTAGAGAGATTCAAAAAGTAAAAATTACCCCTACTACTACTACTCGCATCCCTATAACCAATCCTTTGACCTCACAGTTTTTTTTTCTTAAACAAAAATAGAAGACAAATCTAGAAAATAGAAAAAAATTTAAGAGAACTTAACTCAACAAATAAAATACATGAATCCCACAAATCAACCCACACAACCCACGGCAAAAGCCCCCATGCTGCTACTGCACTCTTCTTTTCCACACAACCCAAAGCAAAAACATCTAAGAAAAATGCTTGATAATTCGAATTTGTGTAGTTTGAATGGCTCAAATGTATTGAAACGATGTCGTTTTGAAACATTTGAACCATTTAGACTTTGAAAATTCAGACTATCAAATATTGTTCAACATCCAAACCCAAAAGCATGCACTCTCGATTTTTCTATTATTTTCCGTAGCTTTTTCACCCACTGATCCATAGCATCAGAACACCCAAACTCATGCACTCTTGATATTTTGATCTTTTTCACAGCTTTTTCATCCACTGATCTGTGTTACCCACTCTTGATATTTATTTCAATATTTTACTTATCATTTGCATTGGTTTCAACTAGCCTACCACCCCGTGCCATAAACGAGATAGTTATAGATATTTAAATTTGTTTAAATTTTTTTTTAATATATAAATTATATTTTTTAAGATTTTTTATAAAAATAATTTAACAATCTTATCACTAACCATAGTGTGGGTACTGCAATAACTATACACATATTGTATCTATAATTATTTGTATGATGGGATTTGAAATGCTGATCAGGAGATTTTGACCAAATCAATAAATACTGAATTTTTTTTTAAATAAAAAATTTAGAAAATTCAGATTCGGATATTGAAGCTTTCACAGGCCTTGGAGGGGTTAAAAACCCCTTTTACTTAATATATAGTATAGATATAGATTGCTTTAAACATATTTAAAAAGAAGTATAATTATATCAAAAGTAAAATACTAATTGTATTTTTTCTAAACCTTTTGAGCGAATTGAACTTTCTTTTTTATTTTTTATTTTTTGTTGTCAAGAGTTGTGGAAAACAAGAAACAAGACTGAAAATTCATCCGATTCACTCTTATTAATTTTTTTTTTCAAGAATTGAATTAAAAATGAAAAAAAGAAACTCCAAAACAGAATTTAAATAACTTCTTTGATTTCTGTGGACTTCAGAAAAAAAAAAAGACACAGCCATTTAAAATACACAATTCGAAACATGCCAAAAGAGAGAGGGAAAGGTTTTTGATAGCAGTCGAAGAGAGCATAGTTTGGGCAAAAAGACCTTGAAGAGCTCACCATTATTAATTAGTACAAAAATATATTCCTGTATTAATCCTGAAAAAAAGCACTCTGCTCTCTCTTCTCTCTCACTACTTTTACTGATTAAAAGTCTGCTTATAAAAGTTTATTTTCCTCAAATTTCACCTAGTAAATTCCACAAATTTCATATAATTACATTCTACTCTTTTAAAGTTTTGATTCATATAATATTTAACTTTTTTTCATAAAAAAATAAATAAATTACATATAAAATAATATTTCTGTTGCCACCATTTAAACGAAAAAAATTGGCCAAATAAAATAAAGTAATGATTATTTTGTAAATATTTAAGAACTAAAATTTACTCCCAAATGAATCATGTCCACATTCAAATCAAATTTAAAGGCCTACCACTAAATAAAAACACTCTCAGCCTGAGAACTAGGCCAAAAGCATTAAACATGCTAAACTAGAGGACAATACCTACTATATCATTGAAGTCTTATGACTAGATTTCTTAGACTTGATAGAGAGGTTATTCTCTCTAACAAGCTTAAGATTTGGAATTTTCTCAAGAAACCTCTTGTTCTCGCTTCTTGAAGAAGGGTTGGTTTGTCCATGGAAACAACGAATGTATCCATCTGAAACAGTCAGAGGAACACCTTTGGGACGTGAAGATCATTGAGGGGCTAGCCCATTCCACTTGTAAAAACTTGCTTTGGTATTTCTGGGAATAGCTTCATTCCTCTGTTAACACCATGAATTTGATAGTGCTCGAGGTACCACATAATTTCTAGGATTGTAACTAAACATCTCTCAGGTATTTTTTGAGGATTATAACCAAACATGTCATATAAATGCAAATATTAATCCAATCTCAAATATTTTTTTTTCTCTGCTATAAAGCATCACAGATGGGTGGGGATTGAGGGAAGATAGGTTCAAAGAATCCAAACTATTGGTACAAGGCAGAGGCTAAAATTAGAGGTGAAGGAAATGGAGGAGGACTCAGCTTGTGTAGTGGGTGAAGCCTGGAAACACGCCACGGGAAAAAAAATTCAGTGGGAAAAAAATTCAAAGTCAATGAAATTTGATAACCACAAACAAATAAGAAAACTCAAAGTGCGGTGATAAATGATGTCCCAAAGAAGTTTCGTTCAAGAGTTTCTAGATTTAAATGAAGATCAACAACATAGTGGTCATCCTTGTGAAACACAATTCAAAAGACTGGGAAAGAAGCTCAAAGTACTGATTCTCTGCAACCAGAACAGAACACAAGAGGGAGAATTTTCGTCTTTTGTTTGTGTGTTTTCCGCCATTGAATTGTGGTGGTGATTACTTACATAACATCATTATGTGGATATTATCACATGAAAAGAATATCAATGTGAAAAATATACGTATTTGTAGCATTACTATGCAAAGAACAAACATAAAACCATCATTCACTAAATAGAAGGTATAGGGTGCGAAAAAAGCTTGACTGCATATATATAAGCTATCTCCAATAAGTAAAAAAATTGCTTTAATAAATATTATCACATGAAAAGAATATCAATGTGAAAAATTTACGTATTTGTAGTATTACTATGCAAAGAACAAACATAAAACCATCATTCACTAAATAGAAGGTATAGGGAGCGAAAAAAGCTTGACTGCATATATATAAGCTATCTCCAACAAGTAAAAAAATTGCTTTAAAAAACATTCAACATAGCAATTGTAAACAATCACTCAACCTACACGTTCAAAAATAGAAACTTTCAGAGTAAAATCATCTCTCTCAACAAGCTCGAAGACACAAACATCACCTTTTTTTATTGCGTTTTCCTTGCAAAACATGTGCCAACCACTAGAGAACCTGCATACAGTTCCTAAATATCGGACCAATTTCACTGGCCACAATTTATCTGAAGAGAGAAGTGTAACACTCTCTCTATCCTTTTCCACGTAGCTCTTGAGGAAGCTTGCTGGTATATTCTGCAAAACGTAGAAGTTAGTATTAAGGCATGCTTCCTAGTGTTTTTTAAGGTGAAAAAAGAATTGAGGCGACAATGACAGACTAAGCATGTTGCATTCAATTTTCCCATCTTTTTTTTCTTTTCTTTCTACAGATCTTTACACAAATTCATGATCCAAACACAACCTAAATATCCAACAAAAACATAAAATAACCAACAAAATCCAACATTCCAAATATCAATATCTAATAGAAACATAAGATATCCAATGAACACTAACATTTTAACATTTTGAAACATAACAAGACAAAGAATTTATTATGATCTCAACAATTAATTTCATTCACAATAGTGGCCAAAAACAAGAAATATAAAAAGATGCAGCCCTTAGTCATAAGCTATGATGTAGTTGCATGCAACATCATATCTAAATTACAACTTAAAAAATAGATGACAAAGATCAAATTACTAAAAAAAGGTATACCTGGTTTAATCCCCATTTACTATTAAAAAAACCACCATCATATATATGGATGCCATCAAACTAGGTTCCAATATAGTTAGACACATATTTTACTAATTAAAAGCATTTCAATATGTTGGTTCCTGATGATATTAGACTCCAAGATACTAACACAAAAAAATAAAAATAAAAATAAAAAACATGGCAAGTCCTAGAATGTTTCTGCTCCATAAAAATTTGCAGATTCTACCCACTACAAAAGTGCACATCCGACTAAACATGTTGAGTAGCAGCAAAAAACCCCTCACCAATAAGAAAACTAATTCATTGTTGTGTTACGCAATTTATCAAAGGAGAGAAATATATGTTTTGTTTGAGTTGCAAGTCCTACAAAAATGCCATGGTCATGACCTTACCATTATTCCACGCTTAAGATAAGTAGAACTCATAACAACCCTGAAGAATGGAAATTTGGACTTGAATTTATCTCTAAGTTCTCTGTCAATGTCATCCTCTTGAATTTCGTTTGGAACTCTCGGGCTCAAATGTTTTTTCCTGATAACTTTCTTGCTACTGGTTCTGCATGCAATCTGGCAAGACTTACCTGCAATTTGTCAACCATATGCTAAGTGCAATGCTATTAGGAATGTTTGGCTCTGTGTGTCGTAGAAATTTACTTACTATGGTCAATTGTTTCATTCTCTTGGTGAGTCTCCCCGGTGGGATTAGTGACCTCCTTTTGACAACCATTTTTCCCATATATTTTGACATAAAATTTTGCATTACCACCATAGTAAAAAATGAGAAAGTCCCCGAATTCTAATGAATTATCCTGCACAAATTGCTTCCAACCCTTGTCGAAATACAAATCATCGTTGACCTGATTCATATTTACTTGCCATCTTTTTGCTGAACTTGTAATTGTAGACTTGTGAGGCAAAACTCCATCGAAATACTTAACAAATGCCGGTGGGATGCGCTATAACAAAATAGCAAAGAATGAATCAATTTTTTTGAATACATTTTTTATATTCTCAACAACCTTGCTTGTTTTCACATTTTAAAAACACTTTTCAAAAAATTATACTTTCTTATTTTCCATTTTTTTTTATTGAATTTTTTTTAATATTTTAAGTAATTTTTATTTTTATTTTTTAGATATACCTAACATAAATACACCTAAAAATAAAAAAGTTATAAAAAAAATCTTTTAAAAATTCACTAAATACCAAAAATACAAGAATTCAATATATTTTTTTGTATTTTTTAATTTTTAAAAATATTTTTTCACAAATTTTTTACTTTTTAAATACATCTAAGTAAGGTAAGGTGCATTTAAAAAAGTAAAAAAAATGTTTAAAATTTAAAAAATATTCATTAAAAACAAAAAAATACAAAAATCAAAAAAATCAGTAGAAAACTCGAACCAAACACAAGGAATAGTTTCAGAAAACAACAAATAAGGCTGAAAATTCATTCGAATTCGTTGTTATTGTAAACTATTTTTTCTTTTTAATTTTTAAATTGAGTAAAAAAGATCAGTTACTTGAAAAGAGTGTTTTTGTGCTATATTTATTTTTTAATTTTACAATTAAACTTTGAAAATAATGTATTCCCACAAAAAAAAAATTATTATAATTTTCGAAAGTATAGCTATGCTGAACATGCTCTTTCTTTCCTGTGGAAAAAAGAAAAGAAAAAGGGGAACTGCTATGGTAAATTCAGCAAAATTTGAATCAGTTTTCGAAAACTGTGGATCTCAGAAACAACTCAACTCAACTCAACAGAAAGCAAATAAAAAACATTATTCCAAACATGCCATAATAGCCAATTGTATTGTGCAGAAGCAGATGATAGATTGGACATCATAAAAACAGTGAGAGAAGAGAGAAGAGAGAAAGAGAGGGAAGGGTGGATTTGTACCAGTCGAAGAGAGCAGAGATTAGGTAAATAGAGCTTGAAGAATTGAGGCGACCTCTCCGAGAAACGCAACTTTCTTCTGTGCGCTTTCACCATTATTTTTCTTAGAAAAAATTGATCTAATAATCCTAACAAACCCCTTTCTCTCTCTCTCTCTCTCTCTCTCAAATCGTCCATCATATCATGGGCCGGTTTAATAATCCTAACAAACCCCTTTTTTTTCTCTCTCTCTCTCTCTCTCTCTCTCTCTCTCTCAAATCGTCCATCATATCATGGGCCGGTTTACAAATTTATTATTTTAGTTGTTTTTATTTATTTTTTAGTTTTTTAGGGTGTGTTTGGTAACGTTTACGTTTTCAGTTCATATTTACAAAAATTTTATAAATTGGTTTTTGTTTATTTTTAGAAAAACATAAACTACAAACGCGTTTGGTAATTGACAAAATGTTTTAAAAAATTTAAAATATAAAAAAGAGTGAGAAATGACGAGTGGTGGCAAGTGGCGGCGGAAGACGGTGGTGGAAAGTAGTGACGGTGGATGGTGGGTAGCTGGTGGGTGGTCAGGACAAATGGGTGGTGAGTGGTGGGGGGTGGGTGGTGGTGGCGGAAGACGGTGGTGGAAAATGGTGGTGGGTGGTGGCTGAGTGATGGGTGACAATGGCGGGTGTGGTGGTGGTGGCAGGTGGGTGGTGGATGGCGAGTGGTGGCGGGTAGTGTGGTGGTGGTGGCGGGTGGCGGGTGGCGGGTGATGGTGGCAGGTGGGTGGGTGGTGAGTGATGGTGGTGGTAGTGGTGGTGGTGTGGTGGTGGGTGGTGGTGGCGGGTGAGTGGCAAGTGGCTGGTGGTGGCAGGTGGTGGATGGTGGTGGTGGCAGGTGGGTGGTGAGTGGTGGTGACAAGTAGGTGGTGGTGGCGGGCGGTGGATGGTAGTGACGAGTGGTAGGTGGTGGTGGATGGATGGAACTTGGGTGGTAGGTAGTGGTGGTGGTGGTGGTGGGGTGGTGGGGTGGGTGTGGTGGCGAAAGACGGTGGTGGAAAATGGTGGCGGGTGGTGGCTAGTGTTGGGTGGTAAAAAAAAAAAAAAACTGAAAACTCAAAATGGAAACACATTTTGTGTGTTTTCATTTTTTGGCCAAATTTATAAACTGAGACCACTGATTTATAAATCAAAAATTTTACCAAACAAGTTTTTATTTGAGTTTTTTAATTTTTTGTAAATATAAACAGAAAACTGAAAACGTAAGTGTTACCAAACGGCACTTAGAGATTCATACTTATGTTATGTGAGCGGGTTGGTTTGGAAATAGGGCAAGTTGGGATCTTTCACAAAAAGATAAAAAGATAAAAATTACTTAAAAAATTAAAAAATTAATATTATTTATTAAAAGTTAACAATTACGGCTGCACAATTTCCAATTTAAATTTTTTCTTACAAATCAATTTTTACAATTTTTATTACACATTTTTTTATAAAAAGTCAAAAAGTTAACCCAAACATCTATATTTTCGACCTCAATTTTTTAGTCCAAAAAGATAAAAAGTGCACTTATTTAAGACACCCCAAACAATCCCTAAATTATTTGGGTAATTTTTTAATTTTATAGTTAAATAAATATACATTTTAAAAAATTAATACGTTTGGAATAATTTTTTAATTTTTTACGCAATAAACATTTAAAAAGTAAAAAAAAGAAGAGGACATTTTTGATTTTTTTGTGTAAGTTTTTAATTTTTTAACTTCCAAGTGACGTTTTTTTATTTTTTTTTAATTGGTTGCAAATCAAGTAGATTTTTTAATAAAATATTTGAAAAAATTAGTGAAACATTATTTTCTAATTTTGTATAGTAGGAAAGTTACAAGATATTTTTTTTATTAGCTAAAATCCTTAACATTTTCATAAGGAAAATTTGACTAAGAAAAATTTTGTTTGGCTCAAAGAAATTTCGACTCAAACTCAGATAAATTTCAAAAATTTCTCTTTGAAAATTGAAATTTCTTTAAGTTGGACCGAAATTTCTCCGAGTCAGGCAAAATTTTTCTGAGTTGAATTTTTTCTGTAGAGATGTTAAGGGACCTTAATTATTATAAAAAATATTGTATGTTATTTATCTTATAAAATCTTAATATTAAGGATTTTAAAAAAAAATTCTCCAAATATTTGGGCTCTCCACCATTTTTGTTTATGGACAGATGTAAAAATAAAATAAAAAAATGATGTGATAATTTATAATATCTATATTAAAGGGAAGAGGGTTTTTGAAAATATATAAATGTATGAAGACACATTTTAATGACTTAGATTAATCCCAAGTTTATATCAATGGCTGAGATCAATAGATCTCCCGCCCAAGACTTCTCTCCCTAAGCATCATTGTCTTTCTTACCTACCCACGTCTGCCTCCCCACCTTCCCTTTCAATCTCTCTCTCTCTCTCTCACCTACAACTCTCTTTCACAGATACATCTCTCTCTTTCACAGATACACCTCTCCTCTCCCTCGCCGGAGACCCAAACTCGAATCCTCTATTCCTGTCTTCCTTCCTTCACTCCCGCTCCTTCATCTCCCTTCCCCATTTTAGGCCCTAGTTTTGCAACAAACCCATACTTTCTTCGATTCAGTGAGAGGAGAGAAAGATGAGGGCATCGTTGTAGTTAGGGTTTCAGAGGAAGCAAAACGAAAGAAAGAGGTTTTGAAGAGATCGCAAAAGCTGAGTAGGTTGGTTTCGGAAGCGACGAGATCGATTGTTCTGAACAATTCATCACTAGACAGTACGAGCTCTCTGGAATCTTCCTCGAGTGGTTCTTCTGTGAAAATGGTGAGTTCCAAGAGGAAAGTGAAGCCCAATGGGTCGAATTCTGTGAAGGTTGTTCCTGAGGGGTCGATTTGGTGTCGCTCTCGCTGCTGGTTTCAGGTCCGGTGAAGCTGTGCGATTGGATCACACCAAACTCTGGCAAGTTTTTTTAAAAACTTCACTTTTTTGTTTTCCTGAAGCATTTTGTATCATTTTCTTTGTAGTTTGCTTTTCTTCTTTTGTTGAATTTTTGATTGACTTTTATTTTCTCGGAAAATTGCTTAATGATTTATGATAAGTATAATGTGTAAGTATATTTAATTAGGTTCCAGACAAGAAAACAGGGTAGTTATTAAATAAGAAATTATCATTCAGTGATAAGTTCAAAAACTTATTACAGATACATGAAAACCTTTATAATTTTAATTATTAATATTTATAAAGTTTACTATTTATTTGTGTTAATTTTTCAAAACATGGACTGAATTGAAATTTCCATTTATTAAAATTGCAAGAAAGAGAAGAGCACAAGAAGCATAGTTTGGACTGAATTGAAATGTTCCATTGGGTTGTTTATTTATATACATTATTAATTTTCTGAATCTGTTGGGTTCCATTGTATTCAAAGTTAGATTTTTTTGTAATGGAAAAGTATTTGTAGAGACTGAGATTTGCAGTAAGAAATTGCAAGTTTTCGATGTTTCGATGAATAGATTGAACGGGGAGATCCTATTGAGCATATCAAATTGCAATGCCCTTAAATTCTTGGATTTGGGGTTTAACAGTCTGAATGGGAGTATTCCAATTGAGGTTGTGGGTTTGAAGAGGCTTTTGGTTTTTTGATTGGGGAATTGTTCCAGCGGGGTTTGGGAGCATTGAATTGCTTGAGGTTCTGGATTTGCATAATCTCAAACTGGTTGGCAACGTTCCTGAAGAAATCAACAATTGCAAGTTTCTTCTTCAGTTGTGAGTCCAATTTATTGCCTTTTCAATGTTCTATATCTACATTTCTTTTTTAAGTTTTAATTTCATTTTTTATCCTCTAAATTATTATCTTTTTTATTTTTATTTTTATCTATATCATTTTTAAACTATTAATTTCATCTATTTAGTTCCTAAAGTTTGTAGTTCCAGCTAATGTGATTTAGTTGGAGATATTTGTCCAAATCAATAACAACTAAAGCATAATTTGATAGCAAAAAGCCATTTCAAAGTTTGAACATCTTAAATTATACAACCGAACATTCATTTTTTAAATTAACTGTTTTGAAATGAGAGTAGAAAACAATATAAGTGTTTGGTTGAAGAGTGTAAGTTTTCTAATTCAGTGTAATTAAAAAGATGGGTGTTTGGGCAAATTGATTGTAATGTTGGATTATTACCGGGAGTACATAACATAGTTTTTGGTTTACTGGGAAAATTGATTGTAATGTTGTTTC